TCCCTTTTTTGATTAGACTTTTTCATTCCTGTGAGAGACAGAGGTGGGCAACTATGGACAATGTCAACTTCTTTCATACTTTATAAATAGGAGAATCATAGTGAGACAATAACATATTGCCTTCTAAAACTCACTTAATTGCTCTGCATTTCAGCTTCCTCATCTGTAAAATATCTATTATGGGGAAAACTGAGAATTAAAAGTTGTTACACGAAACTATTATTGTTAACATCTGAGAGCTTACAATGTACAAGTCTCTAGTTATTTCTCATGCAATAATGTATTTAATCCTATGCAAGGTACTCTTAGTCCTTTTTTACAGAAGAGGAAACTGAGAAACAGAGGTTAAATAACTTACCTAATGTTCCAGAGCTACTAAGATGGAGTTGAAGTGCAAACCCAGACAGACTTCGTGTCAGAGATAGACTCCTAACCACCGTACTAGACTGTCAAGAGCATAGGAAATGAAGTAAGAATATGGCAGTAAAACATAGTGGCAGACAGTCCAGGTCAGGAAGCCAGAGTAGGATACTAGCAACTCAATGAAGGCCTGGTATGATGCCTGGCATAGAGTAGGCACTGAGTAAAAGACAACTACGTAATACAGGAGAAACAAATGTACTGAAATCACTCACATTCAGAATTCAAGAGGATGCTAGTGGGTAAACCTTGTCCAAAAGAAACCATTTTATCTATGAATCTATAACAAGGGAGAGTTAATAATAAAGTTACATATCTGCACAGAATCTTATGAATCAATGCAATCTCATCGGAGTGTTAAGAGGTCCACAGTAATATCTGCTTTCAGATCATTTTCAGCAGTTTGCTCATCAAACCTACATCTCAAAAGAGATTCTAGCTGGCTTGGCCTATCATGTTGCTGATCCTTACCTACCAATAGTCCCTAGCTATGGCCTCCCACCTATTCTGTTTAACGAAGAGTAACCCAAATCCAATCTGCCATGTGTTTCACTGGTTTTAATTTCCTGCTCTCAGACCGCCCTAGGCATCTACTACCTAGCCCCACAGCTTCTGTTCTTTTATCTATGCATTACATCCCTGTCCAGGGCCAGTCCCACTAGCTGCTACGTACAGGCTACTCCAAAATGGTAGAGAGCATTTGGATGAAGACCAAAGTCAGAGCCAAGTGATGCTGCCCTACTATAAACAACAAATCCAGTACAGAAAAGAAATAATAACAGAAACCTTTTGTCTTAATACCTGCAGGTAGTCTAATTTTATAGAGTGGAAATATCTATTAAGTTTACCCAACAACAATAATGGGTCATTAAATTAAGAAAATAATTCCCACTTTCGAAAGACAGAAGTAGCTGGCATCTGTTGCATATTTAAATCCTCAAGATTCCTCCCATTTTGCAGGGACAGGAAATGGAGATAGAAAAGTGAGGTAATTTGTTCAAAGTCATACAAGTAGCAAAAGCCAATCCTAGATTTCATTCTAGGTCTGTGGGATTCCAGAGCGGAAGAGTATCCTCTTAAACACA